GCTGCACAGCAAAAACGCATAAAAACGACTAATCTTCATGCAGAATTGATAATCGCGTATGTGGAAATTTACGTGGCCTCATAATGCAACAAAAAAAACTGCCATCTCAACCGACTCCCTTTTTCCCCTGCACGTAAGAATAAGCCAAAACATAGCTAACATGAGCGCATGTCCAAGATTGTTACGCAGGAACTATTCGTGCAGTTAACGGTCTGACGCTGCAATTTTAGCGCAAAAACGTATAATCGCACCGGTCCCGGATTTTTTGGTGAAACAGTGAGATTTAATTAATTATATAGGTAGCTGTTTATTTCAGAAATCGGTGGCTTATAAATAATTATAAAGAATTTGTACACTGAATGATCGAGACACAACATGCTACAGGTTGACTTGCGCATTTGCAAAATTCTTTTTGGGAATTCAGTAACAAGACTTGTCTGTTAATTTGTGATACCTACTAGTGAAAAAAAAAATCCTAAATTATTTGAGGAGGAAACGTGTCACCTTTTTATGCGTCTTTGCATATACGCAAATGCAAAAATGCTTATTGTGCCAAACACTGTGTATCTGAGTGCGTTGGTGTATGTTTTTGTGCATGTACGTTTGCCTGCCCAGATATTTCAGCTCGGGAACCAGCCAAGTGCTGAAATTTTGATAATGAGTTTCCTGGCCCAAGCGGCAAAAACTTTTATGCACTTCTGAGCCCCGTATAAGGGCACGTAGAAATTTTGATCGGGAAATTATTAACTCGGAAACTGGAACAGCTAAATCATTTTGAATGAATGACCTTTGGCGGAAATTGTTCTTTTTCGTTTATGCAAAATTTTTAGTGATTTACGATGACGAGTGCGCACTGAAATGTAAAACAGTAGTTATACATGCAGTTATTGATCTGACTGCTTCCAGTTTAGCACAAAAATTGGCAAGCCTAGTGCGTTACAGCCTGGACTCTCTAGTTTTTTTTTTACTGGAAAGTCAAAAATTTGTGAAAGGAGATAAGATAGAACAGTACAGGGGCAATAAAGAGGAAAAGAATGAATTGAGTTCACTGCCAGGACACAAGTGCTAAAACTGCATTCGGAAGTAGTGAGTTCTGTAAAACAACAAAAAATGAATCACAACCAAATCCATGTACTAAATTAGTGGGCAACAAATGTCCGGAAAAGGATCCTGGTTGATACTAACTATGTTGTAACACTACGTAAGTACCAGTCAGTAGTCCAATTCGTTCATTTGCTCTCTCCAAGAAATTCTGTCAAATTAGTTTTGCATACAAAATACTTGGTCTTTTCATAAAAAATCTGCATTTCGAAGGCGCTTAGATAAAGGAGCATTACGTCACGAAACAAAACAAAAAATGCCTGAACGCAGTAACAGAATATATTTTCAGCAATTTAGGAATTGCATACTGCAAAAGTAATTATCTAAGCATTTTTGCAAGGCAGTGAGGCATGCCTTCCCGCTTCCTTCGTCTTAAATTCTTTTTTTCGTCCCTCAGATTACCTCGTAACGCCTCCAGTCCGTTTCCTAGTCACTGGTCTCCCTGTTTTATCAGCTGCTCTGGATTTTCCATTGTTCTGGAATAAATGCTAAGCATTACTGGTGGTTATACGTTCCTCAAATGCCTGGCATGTATCGTTTGCGTTACCCAGTGAGCAGTGTTAATTTCTGAATAACGTGCGTAAGTATCACTTCTGGTATACCTTAAGGATATCATAAATCCGTGCTTCCGTCGCCTCCCACTGTCTTCATTAGATATGCATGCATTTTCCCTCAGAACGTCGTTCAGGAGTGCCCGTTTCCTCACAAAACTCAGTTCAAAGCACAGTTTGGTAGATCTTCCAGACTGTTCTCTTTATCCAGCACCTCACACATTTATCGTTAGCAAAAGACTAGCAAACACTGCTGTGAAGCCCTTGACAATTGGTGATTACTAATAGGTAGCAGAATAATTGCTCTAGGTGGATGCTTAAGAGTAATTTTGAGCATTTAGCAAAGAGTTAGCTGACAGGATGAGATTAAAGAAAAAAGAGATAATTATGATTTAACTGTGGAATGTGAAAATCGTTTATTCAGATGGTGAAAAGATGCAAAAAATGAATCGAGAAGCGAAAATTTAGCCTGGAGAGACAATCTTCTCACTATACTTCCACTCTTCCAGCAGCAAAGTTACTCAGCTTGCAAACCATTGAATTTTCAGGATGAAACCGCCACACGTGTACGCGCTAACAAACCACCGCCAACCGTCGTTTGCTACCTCTGCGGAAGACAATTCGGTAGCAAAAGTATTGCAATCCATGAGCCAACCTGTCTGGAGAAGTGGAAAATCGAAAATGACAAGTTACCAAAAAATCAGCGTAAACCTCTTCCACAGAAACCGGAAGTTATCATCAGAGGTAAATAGTTTCGGGTTCTGAAGAAAACTGCTCCAGGATTTGCGTGACACTTTAATTAAAACTTTCTTTTTATCAACTCACGAAATGTTGGTTTCTTAATGCTGAATAAAGGAAAGAATAGGCAGCCTGACAAAAATATCAGTATTTTCTAGGCGACAATGAGAACTGAAAAAGTTTTCCCGAGAAAAACACGTATTTTTGAGAGTATTTCTAAGAAATTACATGATGCATGGCCGGATGAATATTACCTGCAATATGTTATCTAGTCCGAATTGTTTTGGGTTACTTTCAAATGATCTCAGCCTTCGCGAGGAGTGAAAGGCTTTATTTCTGGCTTTGAAAATTACTTCCTTAAGTTGTCTGTATCCATCGATGATTAAAACTTATCACTATTTCGTCGAAAAAATAAAATTTTTCATTGAATTTCAAAAAACTTATGCGTATACCTAAGGGGAAGTAAATGACTAGTTGAGCGGTTTCATAGAAGGTGTAGCACATTCGTCGAGCAGCGTAGTAAATGTTAACTGGAGATATACAGCTCAAGGCCGAAGAAGTCTAGCGCGACACTGGCTAGCATGTACGAGCGTCTCAGTACATAACTAACTTGGGATACTTACACCGAATTTTAGTATCCCTAATTTCCAATTCCAGATTATTTAGACTGACACCATTTATTATTTAGCGCAATTTTTTTCCAGAAACATTTCAGACGGCCAAATTGATCAAATTGCAATGAACGAAGCTGCTTGGAAAGCAGCGCAAGGGAACTTAGCGCCTTGTGAAGGTTGTGGACGGACTTTCTTCCCGGATCGACTGGTTGTTCACCAGAGAAGTTGCCTGAAAGATAAACCAGTCAGTAGTAACTGTTCGACGCTTTCTACAGAACCTCCACCAAAATCACGCCATAAGCCACCACCTACCGTAGTTTGCTACATTTGTGGACGACAGTTCGGTTCGCGAAGCATCGAAATACATATTCCACAATGCCTAAAGAAATGGGAAGCTGAGAATGAAAAATTGCCAAAAAATCAGCGCAGGCCTACACCTCAACGTCCGGAAGTTTTGGCGAAAGGTGACTTTTCACATGTTTTTTGCGCAACATAATTGCTCTAACTGTGAATTAATGTAGAATAATTCTCAGTGTAATTTCCTCTTTGTGGTTTGTTTAAATGTTGTTATACAATAGCTAGTACGTAAAGGCGACATTTGCGTTATGGCCGTCACGAGGTAAAAGTTCCAGGTTTATATATTTGAATTCCATCGGGAGTTTTTCATCGCAGGTTTCTACGAAGAGAAAATTAGAGTCACTTTCTTACCAAAGCAATTTTAAGCTATATTGGAAGCACCTTACAGAGATTATGGTCGTTTAAGATATCTGCTCATCGTCGAGAGCTGCTAAGAAACAGGCTGATGAAGAGTTTGACTCACTATAGTGGATAGTTGTATGCCTCCTTTAAACTCTAAAATTACTGTAGATTCCTCGTGTGTGGGGTGGCCGGCATTATTTTTGTTCAGATAAAGGCAAATGTGAAGCACTGTTGAACTGTCAAGAAAAGTGATTGTCCTACGCTTTCTCCCGCACATAGTGTGATGAAACTATTCAAATGTGTAAAAAATAAAAATGTTCCGGAAATTCCCAAAATCCTCGAGCATGCCCGTACCCTAAATTCTCCAGCTCAAGCCAGTGCTAATTTAACATCCAAAAGAATTAACCGAACGTGAGCCGGTTATTTCTGTTGTGGAATTGAACTCGATCTTCACTAAGGGAACATCGCTACTTACTGAAGATTAAGTTCGATTC